CCTGAGGAGGCCTTGGTGCTCCAATGGAGAAGAATTATTCTTTTGAGTGACACTGCATAGTGAAGAGGAAGATTTTTCAAGGAGAAAAAAAGTTTTTTTAAATTTATTTCTTCTAAGTGCTAAATGACAAGTCAGGTTATGTCCCTTTACCCTCACTAAAGTATCACAATTCCTAACTAAGGTTTTTCTAGGGATCGTCTAAAACTATAGTATAGCAGCAATATTCTATATACAAAATACTATGCTAAACATTTATTTCCATGAGAAAAAATAGTGCTTTCCACGAGTAATTTCAAGTTGCTTATTGCACAAAAACTTCCTTTTGAAAGGACCGTAGTAAAGAAAAAAATGTGTTGTCAAATTCTTTCTCACAAAACAAGCAAGTCTGTTAGCTCTAGGCAGAGAGGTCAGCACAATTCAAGGGATAGTTTATACTGCAGTGTGAGCCCAGTGGGAAGGACCCTCTCAAGGCACCCACTTGATCTGTAATAAGCCATTGGCCAAAAGCAGGAGGTATGGCAGGACCATGTCTCATAAGCACTGCTGAATTATCTGCTCTTGGAAGAAATAGGACTGTACCCCACACAGGTGGTCTGTCTCCTGTCGTAGCTGAAGTTTTCACTGACAGCAGCTACGTGCAGTAAGGTGATATGGAGTAGTGTATCCTAACCAGGGAATCTGGGCTTGCCCCAAGATGGGTTTAAAATTGTGGAGAGGGATGTGCAAATTAAATGTGTAAGTGCTCCTTCCAATGAACCGCTTGTAGATTAACATGGCTTCTGAGAAGTTCTCTTAGCCTTTTGTTCTACTTTTATTTAAAACCTTTCATATTGGAAACAAGATCAAATTCCTAGCAAAGCTTTGGCTTTTTGGCAGAAATCTTCTCAGATTACTCAACAGAAGATTATTGCCAAAGCAAACCTATTAGCCTTTACTCCTCCTTTTTCTCTCTAGTTTATATTCCCAGCTGATCCAGGAGCTGGGAGGCTGCAGCCATGCTCCCTTCCCAGGCTCTCCTGCCCGCGGTGGTGTTGGCACTCGCAGCCCTTCAGGCCCTTGCCTCCGACACCTTCATGGCAGCCGTCTACGAGCATGCCGTCATCCTGCCGCATCCCAGCGAGGAGCCCGTTTCTCCCAGCCATGCTTTGGCCCTGATGAACAAAAACATGGATGTCCTGGAAGGGGCCATCAAGGAAGCTGCTCAGCAGGTATGGGGGCTACCGCCATGAGGGTTGTCCATCAGTGTTTTCTGCTCCTGCTGACCCTCCTGGCTGTCTGCTGATGGGTGCCCTTTAAACGGAGCCTGTTGTGACAGGGTGCCCACATCATTGTGACTCCTGAAGACGGCATCTATGGCTGGCGATTCACAAGAGAATCCATCTACCCCTACCTGGAGGATATCCCTGATCCGGTGGTGAATTGGATTCCCTGCACTGACCCCTCAAGGTGATTCCTTCTGCAGTGGTTTAGGTGATTTCAACCTTTTATCTATCTCATGGAGTCTTGAGCAGCTCACATTAAATTACTAAGAACTGCTGATTCTTTAATTATAAAAATTCACAAGTAGTGTAGAAAAGAGATGCATCAAGAAGAATTCTTAATTAAATGGCAATGGGAATATATCAGGTAAAAGCATTGAGACAGTTTTACTTGCAAAAGGACAAAAATGAGGATGTTTTAGGCAAAATAATTATTTTAAAAACATGAACAACTTTATCGATTTAGATCACTTGTGAAAACCTTCTGTAAGTAGAAGCTATTTTATTGTCATGTAGCTGCATAGATCAGACAAGCTGATTCAATCCTCAGTTCAGGTGGCTGAGTGATTTCTAAACCAAACTGCACAAAATATTAATCTAGATCTGAAAGAAATATCTTTTGGAAATCCAGCCACTTGCACATCTGCTGTTTTGCACATAGAGGTGGTCCCAGTTTGTGTGAGCTGGGGACACTAAAAAGACTGAGTTCATATCTAAGCTAAGCTTTTATATTCTCTTCTGAGGCCATATGGAGCTAGATTTCAGGAGTCCTCAGCTCTGTAAATACTGTGCCCACTTTTTACTAAAGGCATATAGACAACAATTATTTAAAAAGGCTGAAGTTTTCTTCAGAATAAGGGCTTAGAGCTGCTTGATAATTTGCTTTTTAAGCTATTTAAGATTTATGTCTCTGTACTGATTTATTCTCGTTGTTGCTTTGTGAAGCTCTTCACATCTTTGTATGCATGTTCGCTGGGAATTCTATGCACACAGAAAATAACATTGTAAAGGATACAGGAAAGAATAACACAGGGAGGCCATTTTTTAAAAGATAAAAGTGATTGGCAATATAAAATGATGCTATGAACAGAGAAGAAAGTGAACAAAACCTATGATTTGACCTATTGCTTTTTCAGCATCTGGGGATGTGCAGTTAATGGAGTAGTAATTCTGAATGCATTACTTTTACATGGGGCACTTAAAATTCTAAGACTTTTTTTCCTTCACTAAAAATGCATTAGATTTGGTCCAGCACCAGTGCAGGAACGACTCAGCTGCATGGCCAGAAATAACTCCATCTATGTGGTTGCAAATATTGGGGACAAGAAGCCGTGTGACTCCAGCGATCCCAACTGCCCCAGGGACGGTCGGTACCACTACAATACGGATGTCGTCTTTGATGCACAGGGGAAACTGGTGGCTCGGTACCATAAGGTAAGGAAATGCTTCAGCATCCACCTCTGATTTATTATCAATAAATTTTTCAGCTCTCTGGCACCAATTTCAGATGTTTTATACAGTAATTTTGTATTATTATAAAGTGACAATCAATACAGGATGGTGTGATGATCTTATGGCCAGAAGGAAAATGAAGAAATTGCTTGACCAGTCAGGCAAGTTATTCCCAGAATCATTGCAGCTGCAGAGTGCATGCCAGCTGCCAAACACTTGAGGGCTACATTTATGACAGTAAATTGTAAGAAAACATGACATAATTTTCCATACTCAATAAACATTAGCTTTTCTTGATACATTCGTAGCCAACCTAGACAGTGCTTTTGCAGGGGATATTTTGGCCACTGGTCTTAAAGTTTAACAGATAATACTAAATGGGCATTGCTTTCAGGAGGTAGATGGGGCACAGCCACCCCATTTTTTGGGAGAAGGGTCAGTTGGATGGATGCAAAACAGCTGGGCTAGCCAGCTCAGTTACCTCAGCTCCCCGTTCTGCATTAAAGCCTGTCTCAGACACAAAAGCTGTTCATAATCTTGCCTTATTTTCAGTCACTAATATGCCATTTTCTCCACCTGCAGTACAATCTGTTTAGAGGTGAAACTCAGTTTAATTATCCAAAAGAGCCAGAAGCTGTCACCTTTGAGACTCCTTTTGGGAAGTTTGGCATTTTCACTTGCTTTGACATCCTTTTCTATGAGCCTGCTGTGGTCCTGGTGAGCAAGCTGCAGGTGGACACCGTGCTCTTCCCAACAGCTTGGATGAATGTCCTGCCCTTTCTGACTGCAATTGAGTTTCACTCTGCCTGGGCTATGGGCATGGGTGTTAATTTGCTTTCTGCAAATACTCACAACACCAGCCTGGCAATGACAGGTGAGTTGCATTCAGGAACAGGAAAATAGTTTCCAGGTTCAGAAGTAGGGAGAAATGGTTTAGACATAGTGAAGTCTCTGAAAAATAGTGTTTTAATTGGACTGAAAACCTTTGTTATTTGCTACTGAATGTAACAACCAACTTCAGGTAAAAGAATGTTGAATGTTCTGAAAAAGGTAAAAATAGAAAGCCCACGACATTAAGTTTTGATAACTTAGAAGCAAAATTTTATTTCAGAAAATAGCACAAAATTTAACTTAAATTTTCAGTCTCTCATCTAGAAGCAGCATTTTCTGTTTAAAATTCAATCAACAGTTAAATGGAGAAAAAATGTTTTAATCAGAACCTAATAGTGTAAAACCAAAAGGAGAATTCCACTTGTATACTGAATAAAACATTCTTTTTTTTTCTTGTGGCTGCTGAAGACTTAGAGATATTATGTTTTGCTTTGCTCTGAAAACATATTTACTGTCTTTTTTTTTCCCCTCTTAATGGAGAAAAGGACATAGCTGCATCTGTTGCTCTTCCCTGAATCAAAGTGAAAACTACAAAGAAATATTTTTGCTTGTCCTGAATAGACTGAGTTTCTGCCACAGCCCAGTGTGTCCTTCAGTGAAACATAACTATCCCTATCATTGCCTCCTTTGTCAAATATGCCATTCAGAGAACTATGATTTATTTTTAAATGAACCTAAGTTTTAACACTAACATGGGTATTTTAGCTGTTCTGTGCTTTAAAATTATTCAAAAATCTCTCAGTAAGGCATTGAATGACAAGAGTATCACTGAAAATCAATGCCAGTGTGGTGTGGGGGGCGACTGGCACCCCTGCCAAGCCGTGCTGTGTGGTGCTGGCTAACGCAGGGCTGGTGGTGTCCTCGGCAGGCAGTGGGCTGTTCACACCAGAGGGACCTGCTGCCTACCACTACGACAGTGCCACCGAGGAGGGACGTCTCCTGCTAGCAGAGTTGAATGCACACCCCCGCCTTTCCCCCACCTACCCTCCTGCCATCAACTGGAGTTTGTATGCCACGAGCACCAAAGAATTTCCTGGAGAGAACGACACTTTCTTGGGAGCTGTCCGGAAGGATATATTCACTTTCAGAGAACTCAGGCACAGGGTTGGAAATTACACTGTTTGCCAAGGAGACCTTTGCTGTCATCTGGTCTACCAGATGTCAAACAAGACGACAGATGAAGTTTATGTCCTGGGTGCATTTGATGGGCTTCACGGTTCTGTCATAAAATACCATTGGCAGGTAATTGCACGTTTAGAGGTGAGTGTGGCCACATGCCAAACACCTAAAACCATTTGTCCATTACTGCATCCTGGGAACTTTTCTTGCTACCAAATCCAGCTTGTGGTTGCTGAAAGCTTAGTGGTGTTTTGCCTTTCTGCTTCCTCCTCCCCACAGATCTGCACTCTGCTCAAGTGCCCCAGCACAAACCTGAGCACATGTGGGCAGCCCGTGGAGACGGCTCAGACCAAGTTTGAGATGTTCTCCCTCAGCGGCACGTTTGGCACCAGCTACGTCTTCCCAGAAGTGCTGTACAGCGGGGTGCAGCTGGCCCCCGGGGAGTTTGAGGTAATGGGACACCCTGGAGCTGGTTGTTGCAAGGTTTCTCACGCTGTGGCGCTGAAAACTGATCTGGCAGCAAAGTCCCATCCAAGAACGGCTTTCTTTGGTTCTGCAGACTGGAACCCAAGGGGACTGATTTAAACAGGTGGATTGAATCAATCCTTACTGATGAGAACATACCAGTCCTGGCGCTGAAACTCTCTTCAGTGCTTTCTTTAACAAATCTGCCTTCCCACTTCAGATCGTAAATGAAGAAGCCACTGCTTTCCATGAGCTATTTTCTACAGGTTTCTCATGATTGTCATTTTAGGACAAAAAGAAATAAAATACTCTGAGAAATTGTCCAAACAAGAAAAATTACTTAGAAGTATCTTGTACAAGAGCAGAGATTCTATGCAGTTAAGAATTCTAAAAGTGATTTTTGAGGGATTTGTGGGGTTTATTTTATTTATTGGTTCATATTTTATTTTTTCCAAAAGATGTGTTCATTCATAAACCTTAGATTAGTTTTATGCAATAGGCTAGATGAACTCCTAATTGATTTGGAAGAAGTATTTAACAGCTTACAAGAGACAATGAAGACAGTGAGAAAGACCTGAAAAATTTTAGGGGAAACAAGGGTGATTTTTTTACAAAGTAGGAAATTGAAAAGCATTGTTCACCCTTCGTACTTGTTTTTGAATGAGACTTCTGTGAAAATAGGCACAACAAAGAATTTATTGGTACGCTAAAAATATGATCATGGTCTCATTTAAAACAATAGGTTGTATTTTCTTAACAAATACATCCTTACCTTTTGTCACAGGGGAAAAAAAGGTTGTTACAGGTGTTCACAGTTGGTGGTTTCAAATTGACACATAAAAAGGAACTAAGAAAAGCTACATATGGCCAGTAGCTTGAAATTCTCTATTTCTATCTGAAAATTGTTCTGGGGTCTACAAATCAAAAAATGTTTCAATATGTCCTAGATGTGCATATAATCTTTGTTGCCTTGTATGAGTAACTAAAGAGAGTCTAACAAATTAGTTACTCTCACTCTCACCTTCTTATGAGGTAGAGAAAATGGTCTTCATTTCCAAAGACATTGGAAGGTTTAAGGATTTCTGGGTCCAAGGAAATGTGGGAAGGCTATAATGGGGAGGCTGTGGCAAACCCAAAAAGAATTCTGTTTTCTTTCGCTATCATGACTGTTTTTGAAAGTGTTGTATCAAAATATTCAGTGTCTAAGGTCCATTCTTTCTGTACCATGCACTATTGCTACTCTGTTAGTTGAGTATTAGTGCTGTTCTTTCTCTTTTCCACCAGGTGCTACGTGACGGGCGTTTGATAAGCAAGCATGGCACTTCGAAACCACTCATAACAGCGACACTTTTTGGAAGGCTTTATGAGAAGGACCAGCCACATCCCCTGCGAATTTCCCTGTAAAGTATCTCCTTAGGAATTACACACTCACCAGAGACAGGAGGGGAATTTCCTCCTGAGTCATAGCAGTTACCTTGTATGATTCCTGTTCTTCAATACTGCACTTCTGCTCAGCACCTGTGGCAGTCTGGCTTATTTGGGAGAAAAGGATGTGTTCACCCTGCTGTGCATGCCTTTTAAACAGCGCTTTGGCCAGTGCAATTATTTTTTAGTATGCATGACCTGTCACATGAACCTTTTAATCAGAATTCTTTTCTCCCCAAAATATCATATAGATTGCTAGGATTACAGTAGAAAGAAGACTGATGCCAATATCTATGAAATGTGGTTTGTCATTTTATTGGATAATAAATTCTCTCCAAGAAAGTCTTTCTGTCCCTTTTGCCCTTTACTGTTTTTCAGACTGTATAATCATTAAGTTTCTGCATTTTTCAGCCTTACAGCCTAATCAACAGGGCCTACTTAACACTCCATGAGTCTTGGCCCCATTCTGACCAAGGTACTGTAAAATAAAGAGAATACCAGATGTTAAATTATCTTAGGTGCAATCTTAGAGAGAGAAAGTGGTCCTCCACAACCCACCCAGGTGTTGGGTCTGGCTAAGATAAGATAAAGCAAATCCAGTTCTGCAGTCCCACCGATTTTGCACCTCTTTGTATGTGGCAGATGGGTGTTGGTTCCAGGGCACTTCACATCCAACTTACCATATACAACACAGTACTCCAACACCTTCTCCTGGGTATATGGATAATTTCTTCAAAAAGGTTAAGATATATGAAATAGGCAATCTTTTAGCACCTGAAACACATTTCACCCTGTAGTGTGAGAAATTAGCCTTATTTTTCATTTCTAGCAGTGATATATCAAACTTTGCAGCCCTGGGCCCCATTTCTGTCCATAATGTTGTGGAGGAAATGAGCTTTGTTTGCATTAAATATGCCTTGGAGTGGTCCCTGCCTCCACACTTATCCCATAGCATTTTGCATCTACTGCCCTTCTTACAGCCTGCACCAAGGTTAGCACTGAGCTGTGCTAAAGGTGGCATGTAAGAAACACTCTGTGATTTCCCACTACACGCACACCTACGTATGTTATCCAGAAATTGTTGAAATCACCTGATTTCCATTTTTCCCCATACTGCACCTTCTCAGCATGCAACTTTAGGGGTTCTTTCTGGGAGTGTTTTCATCCTGGAAATAAAACAGTTGAACTTGCACTCAATGGGATAACTGTACCACTTGGGAGCAGTTACTCAAAACAGACAAGGACTCTTAGCTGTGCTTGCTGGTTCCTTGTTCAGCACCTCACAAGTGAACACAAAAATCTCTCACCTATTGCTTGCTGGCATTTCTGAAGTTCTGGGTACTTCCCAGGTACACACAGAGCAACCTGTCTTGGGTTTCAGAGCTTGACATAGGTAGGATACAATAAATATTGCTAGTTAAATATAAGATATCAGGAAAGGACTCTTGTATCTCATCCATTAGCAGAATACAGAAGTCCAGGATTCCTTGAAAATTACACTAAAAGCAAACTTGAAGAATGGCTCACCTGCAGTTTTTGCGATGTGCTGCACAACCTTCCTCTCCCTGAGGGGGTTCCAAAGGTGCCATACAATGAACTGCTGAGGAGTTTATTAAACTATTTCCTATTTCTGATGACAAAGCAAGAATTTGGATGAGCAGAGGATGAAGTTGCATGGACTTTTGTAGCAGCCTCAGAATACCTCCACCCTTTCAATATAAAAGGACCACGAACCCTGCTTTTGGGAGAGGATTCCCTGAAGGGGTTGCAAAAACCAACCAGATCTTCACCTCAGTGACTGGTGGTCACAAGTGACTAGACAAAGTCCAGTTAATGAAATATGACGTTTAATAATAAAAGGAAATTTCAAATGATGCAAATTACAGAAACATTCAGAATAGAGAAGCAGAGAGGTAATGAATGTCTGATGCAACAAATGACATTTGTCTTTAACAGCAGCAGTATTTACTGACTCTGGGACAGATCTGTCAGAGTAGAAAAGTCAAATTAATTTATAAGTAATTCACGTCAATGATCTGACCCCAAAACCTACTACAGATGGTATCTTAATGAGACCCATCCCTCTCTGAGCTGGAAAAGCAAGCTCTTCATATATCAATATTTCTTCCTTACACCTTGATGCTGGCTAAAGCAAACAAGACCCACCTGTCCACAGTGTTTCTAACCTCACAGAAAGAAAACCAAGTTCATAATAGATTTTATTGATGCAAGGCTTCAGATGAAGGCATAAAAATACTCCATTTAAACAAATATGATCCAAACCTTGCAGCTACCTTAAGTAAAAAAAGTAACAATTTTGGGGAAAATTGGAGTAAAATCTAATGTACTTTATCTTACATATTGAATTAAAGTAAGGAGGCCTTGGGGGAAAAAAAGAAACAAAATCTTAATAATCTGGAGTTTTAAAGAGAGAAGGACTCTTCAGCCATGTCTTTACTCATATATTTAAGTCATCATGACCTCAAGTTATGCATTAAATAATGTGGTACAGTGAGGTACAATCAGAGGTGGTGCAAGTTTTAAACCAAGTAATTCAAAGCTAAATGTTTGTGAACAACTCCTGTTCTCATGGGTGAATTACTGACAGTATGGGACACCATTCCTGGGTACATTGAATCAGTGCAGTTACAGTGGGTGACTGACAGAATGACAAGGACCTGCATTTGAACTGCAGAATTTCTAATTAACCAACAATTGAATTAGAGCCCCACTTCATCTAGATGGTGTTAGCAATGCCAATGTCCACCACCAGAGCAACAAAGTTGAAAAAGAGAAATAGCTTGCATAGGTCAATAAAGAGAGCAGCAGTTATTGTAAAACTTACAACAGCTAATACAGGAATGCTTCTTTGTGGCTTGTGATGGACCATGAGATGTCATGGAGCCCCAACAGAGAAATAATTATAGTACACCTTCTAAAAATTAATCTTTTAACGCTGCAGACAAACACTACCTCCTACTGAAGCCACAGATGAGCATGACAACATTGCCAAGTGTTGTCTGTCTGTGAATCAGACACAGCTGAATGGTGAAACAGAAACTGCATGTTGACAACACAATGTTATTTTCTCTTTCAGTCTGGGAAAAAAAATTAACGGCCATGAAAGTATTAAAATATTTCTTGTAGCCTCTCAATACTAGAAAGTTTCAAGGGAAATAATCCATTTTCTGTTCAGATATTCTCATGGCAGCAGGGAATTTCTACTACAAATATGTACAATATAGGAAATGCATTGTAACTGCATGATTTTAACTTTGTCTATCCATCTTCATTTGCTGCTTCTATTGTTAAAATTGATTGATAACCTCATAGTCTGGGAGCTGTGATAATGTCAGGATACAAGATTAATGAGTATACAAAGCAGGGATAGATTTTAATGTCAAACATATAGTCAATCTTTAGGATATCCCCCTTCAGAAAAATGGGAGAATGAATATTTGCATACAGTTGATCACCCAGCTTATGTACTGAAAAATATAATAACATAAAACTAAAAAAAATAATTTTAATACCTTTGAGATAGTCTTCAATAGCAAGTGATGACTTTTGTAACAGCAATTTTGAACATTTATTTCTAAACGAACATTAGGAGTACGAGACACACTTGAACTTACCAAAGTCAAATACATAGAAACATTAAGGTCACTTTTTTATAAATGGTTATTTTTCTATTTTGCAATTCACCTTGATGTGTTTTCCAGCCATCTGAGATTGATTTTTGTAAACTGAAAAAGGTCTATTCAGTTCTAGTTTTAGGGCTCTCTAAGGAAAATTCATTGTTGGGGGGAGAGAGGGGTGGTTCAGGCAAGACTTTCTTGTCAAACTTATGGATGATTTTGGAAAAACCGAACCTTTATTCTGCAATGTTTATGAAATTCATAGACAAAATATAGTACTGACAGACAGTTTCCATTAAGTTGAGCAAGAAAGTACAGTGAACTCTAGGCCTATGCCATTGCCATGTTACTTACAGACTCTTTAGGATACACTCTCCCATGCTTTTCAGAGACCTAAGTTTTCCATATAGCATTTATTCCTGTGCTGGCTAAGTGCTGCTACATAATACATAAATCTCTCCCTTCCTTTTATTTTGCCTCCAGTAGGAGCCAGAAATCTTGACTTAATGCTCTTTTCGTTGAGGTCCAATAAAGTCAAATGTGGGCAGTGAGTTTGCTATACTACCACTAAAAACATTGGTGGCTACATTCAGTTTGCATCTACTGATTGTGCATCTGCAGAAACAGAGCTGTTCTACGTTTAGCTTTGAACTCAAACAGTCATAATCTGTGGGTTTTTTTCAGTTCCCTCTGCATGGAGGGTCTCACACAACTTGTCTGGGTTTGGTTGAGGTTGGGAATCATCAACTCTGCCCCGAAGAGTTTAGAGATAGTTACTGATATAGCTCCCATCCTGACAAAAGTTAGGTGCGCTGATCCTGTGATATTCCCAGTACCTTAGTTTATCACCAGTTTACAAAGTGTACAAAAACTGATCCAAAAAATGTACAAACCTTTATTTTCTTCCCATCCCCTTCTTGTTAAGTGGTTGTCTTCTCCAATTTTCTCAGAGATGTCCTTATGCCAAGTTGGCTGCAATAACTACCATAAACAAATGGTGAAAACACATTGTAATTCATTAATGGGAACATTGTTTTAAAAAGAAGAATTATTCGTGTCTAAGAAGAAATAAAATATGTCTGACACTGATTCACAGGAGGGAAGAGCAAACAGTAAAAACATGGGCATTAATAAATAATTAGGTACTTCCTGGTAGCTAGGCTGAAAGACAGAAAGCTTTTAGCAGGTGTGAGTAAAAAAATATGTGTGGTCTTTTCATAACTAGTGTCAATTAGCTGAACCTTATGAGTATCAGATGGCTGTATGTATGAGGATTGTGTGTATATAAAAGCTCAAGTTTAATCAGTCATCATTACCTAGCAATAGACTTAAACATTTATTTTGTTGAAGAGTTTATGAGACTATCTTTTGTGTTACACTAGGCCTTTTGGTTGTTTATTCATGTTAGCATTAACCTCTCTTTGCAGGAATTCTTCCAAGCTCAGCATTAGACTAATCAAAAACAGAAGCCTCTTGTACTTGAAGGTTGTGTAACACTGAATGTAACCACTCAGGTATTTTGCCAATACAATACACTGTCTTACAATGCCAGTTGTTTTCTGCTGAGCCTTTTCTTATAAATGGCTGCCCCTTCTGTCACCAAGGATGTGACCTGTGTTCCTCTCTGATTTGCCAAGGCTCATCATTAGATCTTGATGACTTACAATCATTTGCAAGTAGAAGGGAGAATTGCAGATAA